TGTCTTGCACTAGGGGCACAATTTCTCCTGTTATCTGAGAAATTATTTCTGATTTCATTTCTTCCAGATCCCCTTTGGTTGCCAGTTCAGTTGGTCCAGGTGGTTGAATATCAGAGGGTTCCACTTCATTTCCCTTTGGGGTTGCTGTAGGTGATCTGGAAGTCTGGTTTTGAGACTTACTTACGTGTTTTCTCATTTCAACTGGGGCAGGGGGCTGTTAGTGCCTGCATGGATTACCTCCTCTGAGCTGGGAGCGGTGGGACAGGGGCCTGGAGAAGTGGTAGGGATGGTGACCCAAAAGCCCTTTCCTGTGTGCTGGGAGCAGTGGGAGGGATGGTGGCCGTGAAGCCCCTTCCTCTGGACCAAGAGTAGTGGCTTGTTGGCTCAGAAGCCCCTACCTCTGGGCTGGCAGTGGTGGGAAGGATGGTGGCCTGGAAGACCCTTCCTGTGGGCCAGGAGCAGTGGGGCAGAAGTTTGCCCAAAAGCCCTTTCCTCTGGGCTGGGACCAGCAGGGGGGATGGTGACTGGGAAGCCCCTTCCTCTTTACCAGGAGCAGTGGGTTGGCGGCTCAGGAGGCCCTCCCTCTGGGCCAGGAGCAGCGGGACTCAGTACCATGATCTGGTGGTCCGGTGTCCTCTGCATCTTTGTAGTGTGGAACCAGGTGGCTGTACAGAGGAGCGGGGGGCTGGGGGGTGTCCAGTGGATTGTTGCCAGGGTGTGGGCTGATTCGGCATGTTCCTCACGACTTGGGACCTCAGCAGGGTGTGGGCAGACCTGCCTGTCTCTCGCAGGGTGATTTGGTGTCTTCTGTGTGACTGGGGACCTCAGTAGGGCGTGCACAGACCTGCCTGTCTGCAGCGGGCTGATTCAGCATCTTCCACGTGACTCAGGACCTCGGTAGGGTGTGGGCAGAACACAGGCTGAAATATTGATTCTCCATATTTGCTCCAAAATATTGAGTTCCAAAGTCAAATATTATAATTCATAAAATACAAGTGAATGTGCATTATAAAAAAATAATGTTCAGAATAGTATGGTGGCACACACATGTAATCCCAGCACTCTGGGAGACTGAGATAGGAAGATGGCAAGTTCAAGCCCAGGCTGGGCATTTTCATAACTTAAGGAGACTCTGTCTCCTTAAGTTAAAAATTAAAAAGTTAAAAATTAAAAAAAGGTTTGCAGTGTATTTCAGGACCCTAGGTTCAATCCCATGTACTGCAAAATAATAATAATAAAAAGTCATATATTCATAAAACATATTCACAAAATTTCAAGAATGTGAGAGGCATTAGGAAATTGTATTTCAAGAGTTAGCCTATATAAAGGATAGAGGACATAGATAATTTCCCAAAGCAAGAATTTATACAGATCACATTAGTAAACACGACTGAGTGAATATGGAGATTTATAATATAAGTGTAGGAAAAAAATTACTCCACAGTGTTCAAAGATTGTATCTAACAAATGTGAATTTGTGAATGTGGATTATATTTAACAAATTTTTAGAGTCAAATTTTGCAAAGCTACATCACATATTTTCAAATGTAAACATTTCAATAATTATGGGATGTTATTGAAGTACTAAAATGTAGCCCTACATTTTAGTATATGTGCTGCCAAAGTGAGCACAGGGCTGTATTTTAAATTAAAGAGATAATTTTAACAAAGATGGACATGAGCTAAGATTTGAAAATGATAAATCCTCAGAAAAATATGAGAAAGAAATACACTAAATTAGGAATTATTTAAATGTAAATAAGTGCAAAACTTTTAATATTTATTAAAAGGAATAAACCCTGTATTCTATTATTTATATGATTTGCACAGGATTCGCTTCTTTGTTAAATTTCTTTTATCATGTGAACACCTGACCATATTATACTTTTCTATGAATTGATGTAGTTACTATTTCCACTGAGGACAGCATTGAGTGTTCTTCCCAATCTCACTGAATTTTCGTGCACTTCACTATGTACATTGATATACTGAATCTGTTGAATAAAATAACTTCTATTATCTTATTATACTTTTCCAAGCAAAAGTGAATAAGGTGTCATGTATTGAGTTAGCATATAATTCTATGGCAAAAACCCATTTCAATTTTAAAAATTGCATTTACTGATGGACTATTGCTAACATATACAAATGTTTTATCAAATTATTTTCTTTAATATTACCTCTTTGAAAAATTTCAGATTTTATACCTATATGAGAAGACTCAAAGAGGCATCTCAGTTTGCAGATTCTAATTAATTCACTTTTATTACAAATTTATTGATTATTAAGACTAATCAAGAAAAAATTGGAATAAAGCTGGCACACTGGTATTGTTTTACATGTATGTGAACACTGGCTGTATTACTTCTCTGTCACATTACCTGGGCAAGTTGCTTAAATCCTTCCAGTCTCAATTTATTCATTATGACTTTCTTTATGTCAGCAAGAGATTTAAAGAAAGTAAAATTTACATGCATTGAATAATACCTGATATCATTTATATTTATAAAAAGAAGACACATAGAAACTTTTCATGTATATTTAAGAACTTTACATATTTTAAAATTGTTTCAACAAATATTATTTAATTAACATTTCCACTGCTTTTCATCCATCCAGTTTATTTTTCTTGCTATGCCCTAGATACAAGGTTATTAAGCAATTTTAAGAGTTATGCATACATATCTGAAACCTATCTGTCAAATATGAGTGTTAATATCCTCCTCAAAGATTTGTATGTACAAAATAGAAAAAGACAATAAATCACTTAAGAATTTTTGGAACATTGTAAGCACTCACTAGATGAAAGATAATTATATTAATACAAGAAATGTTTTGAGCATATGGTAAAGATGATGTGTCATATTAAACACATTATTTAATGATTAGCTAATGTTGGGCCAACTTATTAATCATTCCTTAAAAATAAGAGATGAAGGTGACTTACACAGCCCTATATGTAAGAGAGAAATCATTACAGTGTGAGAAAAACATGTCGGCACTTATATATCTTTACCAAGAGTTAAACTACCAAGAAAAAGAATATTTATTTTATCCTAGTGATATAATGGAAACTTGCACAACATCGTAATAAAAATGTTCTTACTAGAAGAAGCACGTAGTATATTCTTGTGTCTTGATTGCAGAAAATCATGGAAAAGAAGCAGCACACTCTGTATTCTAAAGTCATCTTCCATCAGCTCAAATGTTCTCAAATAAAGTAATTTACTGAAATGTATAAAACACAATACACGTATTTAAACACACATGATCTGTAAATTAAGTTGTCTAATTTTATATGATATGCAGTATTCTGTGTTTTCTGGAGTCATATCAATTATTTAATTTGGTTACATTTTCTCTGGGCAACAGTTCAGACTATTTAAAAATATAGAAGAGTTAAAGTATAATGTTATTCATGAATGAAAAAAGTATTCATTTTTGATGAATTCTGTCAATTATTCATGTAAAATATAACACATTTTATTCTTTGTTGTTTCTTAAATTTCATTTTTCAGAGACACATATAAAAATTCCTATCTGGATGTTTTTAAAAAATAACCTTTTTGGATATCTGTCAAATACCTGGAAGCTATCAAGTATGTCATAATCTAATTTGTTATCTTGTAAAATTCTATTATACATTATTTAACTTGGAATGCATACTTTGGTTTAGCAACTTGAATGACATATTCGTTTCCTAAAGAGTTAACCTTGACTTATACTTCAATTAAATTTTTAAAGTTATTGAAAATATCAACTGTTTCACTCAGGAATACTTTCCTAGAAAACAGTAAAGCTTTACAATCATCATGCATTATGGATTCATTCTGACAAAACTAATATAGCTACTTAGGCACTGCACCTATGATTTTATCTATTTATATTTTAATTTAATTAGTTTGAAAATGTAGAATTTCACCCAGAGGAACAAAAGAGGCTTCATTTAAGTAGTACTGCAGCACTCTGTGCTCTTCCTAATAAATTCAGTTGGCTTTACAGTCATTTCTTCTGGCATTGCTTTGTTTTTCATTTTTTTTGGTACCTGGGATCGAATTCATGTCCTTGCGCTTGCGCAGTAGGCGGCAAAACCACTGAGCTAAATACCCGGCCCTATCTTCTGTCCATGCTTTGGAAGGTGTGGCTCAGTGGTTTCTGTAATTGACATACAAACATTTATGTAACTGCCAAGTGGACAGGGAGAGGTGGAACGTACTTCCTTTTAAGTGTTCTTCCTATTTCTTTCAATTGTCAATCACGTGACTTGTATTTTTTTATCTTGTTTCCTTTGTCTGGAAAATTTTACCCAGGCTTTTCCTATTGCTTAGTTTTGGGTATATTCAAGTATTACTTTTCCAAGATTATTCCATCAAAGGCAACAAAATCACACCCCCAAACACACACACACACACACACACACACACACACACACACACAGCAATCCCTACCACAGAATCTTTTCTTTCTTTATCATTCTACTGGGGTATTCTGTTTGGTTGTTAATTTTTTATAGACTCCCCTTTTATTTGTAAGATCTATGAGAGCAAGAATGGGTGTGAAATTTTATTCTTTTTATTATATCTTTAATGGTACATTCTAGGTATACAATACATTTACATTTATCATTGGGTGCTTGTAACTGTTCATGATGTATCTTGGTTCTTATTTTTTCCCCATTACCTGTGCACTCTTCACCACCTCCACCCTTCTCTATTTACATAGATTTCATTTCCATTTTTTTCTTTTCTCATAATTTTTCCTTTCCCTTCTTTCCTTTCCCCTTCCTCTCCCACCACCCCTACACTTTTGAACCTTTTCCTATTTTGAATTATCAGTTATTCATTTTAATCATTTTAATCCTTATTTACAGTTTCAGTTTCTCACACTAGAGAAACTCTTCAGTATTTACACTTGTGTGTCCTATTTATTTCACTTAAGAGTATGGCATCAATATGCATCCATTTAGCTATAAATGTCTCTAGTTTCTCGTTCTTTATGGCTGAATAGTACTCCATTTTATAAAAAAAAAAATCACATCTTCTTGATCCAGTTTCCAGTTGATGGACACTTGGGCTGTTTCCAAGCTTTAGCTATTACAAACTATGCCAATATAAACATAGGTGCACATATATCACTGTGGTATGATTCTTTTAATTCTTTGGGGAGGATACCCAGCAGGGGAGTAGCTGGGTCAAATGGGACCTGTAGTCCTAGTTCTTTGAGGTATCTCCATATTGATTTCCACAGTAGATGCACCAGTCTGCACTCCCACCAGCAATGGAGAAGGGTTCCTTTTTCTCCACACCCCCGCCAGCATTTGTTAATGGTTGATTTCTTGATAGCAGCCATTCTTTCTGGGGTGAGGTGGAATCTCAGTGCTGTTTTCGTCTACATCTCTCAAATGACCAGTGTTGTTGAACATTTTTCCATGTTTATTTGCTGCTTTTCCTTCTTTGTGTGAGAAATGTCTGTTCATTTCGGATGCCCATTTTTGAATTGGGTCTTTGAATTTGCGGGGGGGGGGGTTCTGATTTTTTCAATTTTTTATATATTCTCGATAGCAGACTTTTGTTTGAGGTACAGCTGCTAAAAAATTTTTCCCAAATTATATGTTGTCTGTTAGCTCTGTTGGTGGTTTCTCTTGCTGTGCAGAAGCTTTTTAATATGATGAGATCCTAGTTGTTGATTCTTTGAGCTAGCTCCCATGCTACTGAAGATTTGTTCACAAAGTCTTTTCCTATGTCAATGTCATTAAGAGTTCTACCTAACTTAACTTTCAGCAAGTTTAGTGTTTCTGAAATTTTATTCTTGCTGTTTTTCCCCTTTGTAGGAAAAATCTCAGTATAAATACTGAGTATATTTTCTTAAAGTTAAGAAGATGGAAAGAAATAAGAGGAAAAATCGCAGTAACAGAGAAATGAGAAAATAGCAGATCAGATTTTAGTTCAGCCACTTCTAGGTTTATTAGAAAAGGAATTTAGCTTCTAAAATTGCATTTATTACTCTGTTGGCTCTTGTATAGCTCACTTGAGTCTTCAAATTCAAGGGTGTTTCACCCAGGATAGGGTATTATGCTATGGAAAAAAAGGCAACATCAACAAGTCAGTATGGCTATTTTCTTTTATTTACATTTCACAGCAAGCACATAATTTTATATTTTAGTTTCCTTAACTTGCTGTCCACATACCATCAGTAGGTGCATACAGGCCCCACCCAGAAGCCTGCCCATATAACACCAGCACATGTGTTCAAGCTCCAGCCAGAGGCCCACCAAGATACATTGGTAAATGCATGCAGACCCCAGCCAAAAGCCTGCCCAGACACCAGTAGCTTGAGCACACAGGTCCCAGCAAAAGGCGTCCCTGGAAAACAGCTGTGCAGGGATGCAGGCCCCAGCCAGAGGCCTGGCCAGATAACATCAGAACTGGCATAGTGGTGAGCAGCAGGGAGGAGCCCTCTCTGAGACTTGTCAAGAATTGAAGTCCACTGGGAGAGCAAAGAGTCACTGCAATAAAGGGGCAGTAAATTGTATTGGTTGAAATGAGAAGTCACCTAAACAACTCTTAAAACTAGACTTCCAGATCACCAAAGGCAACCCTAAGGGGCAATGAGATGGAATAATCTGAAACTTAACCAGGTGGTCTCCCTAAACTGCCAACAAAAGACGATCTGGAAAAAATGAAATCAGAAATAATTTTTAAGATAATAACAGGGATTGTGTTCATAGTGAAAGCCATGATTAATAACTCTAGAGAAGACACAGATTAAAAACATGAGGAGCTGAGAAACATGATGGAATCCCAGCATAGGAAATAAATGGAATCAATAAAACAGATACAAACAGATATCCAGGAGATTAAAAACTCCATTGAAAGTTTTTACAGCAGAATGAACCAATGTGAGGACAGAATATCACATATAGAAGACAAGGTTGCAATTAGTGACCAGGAAAAGATAGATTCCTTAAAAATAGCAAGGAATCACAAGAAATCAATCCAGCAGCTGCTAGATGATGCAAAGAAGAATAACATAAGACTGACTGGAGTTAATGAAGAAACAGGAGGGCATGGAAAAGACATAAAAAAAAAAAATCTTTTCACAGAAGTAATGGTATAAAACTTCCCAAGCAGGGAAAGAATTTGAGATACAGAAAGTGAGGCATATAGAACTTCAACTAGCCATGTTAAAAAAACAAAAAAAACAAAAAAAACCCTACACCTAGGCATATAATAATTATGATTCCAGAAAGCCAACAGAAGAAAAAATTCTACAAACAGTTAAAGAAAAGTAACAAATCACATACAATGAAAGTCCATCAGACTCACACCAGACATCTCCACATAAACCCTCAAGGCAAGAAGAAGAACCTGGAGTGAAATATTTAAAGCCCTAAGGGAAAACAACCTCTAACCCAGATTTATGTACCCTGTAAAACTATCTTTCAAAATTGACTGAAAAATGAGATACCTTCATGAGAACCTTAGGAAATTCATGAATACCAAACCAGCACTCCAAAAAATTTAAACAATATCCTAGGAAAAGACAATGAGGGTAATAACCCCATGAAGCCAAGCAGAATGAATCCATCAGTCAAAACAAGAAATTAAATGCAAAGGGGGAGAATCCCAACAACAGGAAAATGTCATGGCAAGGATAAGTCAATACATATCAGTTATAACCATCAATCTTAGTGGCCTCAATTCATCAATCAAAAGAAGTAGACTGGTGTAATAGGTCAAGAAGCAAGATCCAACTATATGCTGCATACAAGAAAAAGCACACTTAAATTAAAAAAAAGAAACCCTCATAGACTGAAAGTTAAAGGGTGGAAAACAGTACTCCATGTGACAGGAACCTCCAAAAAGCAGGAGTAGCTATCCTCTTTGCAGATAAAATGAATTTCAAACCAACACTAGTTTCCTTAACTCTACTGAAAAAATTCCAGACCCAGTGTTTTCAACATCCTGTTTTATCAATCTTTTCCCTTATTTAAATTCTTTTCTCTTACTGATAAGTGACCTTGCATGAAATAAGGTTCAATTCAAACAACACCATTAAAATTATTCTTTCTACAATTTGTAATGAAACAATTTCCTAAGTAAATTTTAGTGCATTTAGTATTGTTCTTGCATTGTCAATGAAATAATTTCTTCATAAAAAATTACACACATTTTAAATAAAAAAGCCAAGAACCTTTACAATATTTATGTGTTTCAATATTTCTATGG